TTGCTTATAGTATTTTTATGAGCAAAATATTTCAGTGAGCTGAAATTTATGAATCTTCCATGATGTCTTATTTTGTCTCTTGTTCAGAAAGCCTTATCACCATCATAATTATAAAAGTAAAGTTCCTTATTTTTTATTTAAATGTTTAATTATTTGACCCATCTGGAAATATTTTTAACATATGGATTGAGGTAGAGAACAACTTAATATTTTCCAAAAGCTAAACTATTCATAATATTCTACCCCTGCTCTGTGATTTATCATATATCAGAATCCCATATGTAGTTCAGTCAATTTATTTATTTTATTCGGTTCAATATTTCTGTCTGATTACACATGTGCCAAAACCAAATTCTCTTGGCTATTGTAGATGTGTATTTTATTTAAATATATTGAAAACTCATTTTCTTCTATCTTTTAGCATTTTCCAGCTAATCTGTCATATTTACTTTAATCAGGAAATTTTTAGAATCAGCTTGTGTGTTCACTAAAAATTAAAACTTTTTTGGTTACATTTTGGAGGTTGTGTTAAACTTATAGATAAATTTTGGAGAAACTGATAAATTCTTAAAATATCAATACTTCTTCCTACTCACCAGTAGAATACTTCTGTGTGTTTAACTTCATTTATGACCATCAAAATCATTTTAGATCTTGTACATTTCTTAAATTTTCCTATGTATGTTATCATTTTAGTTCATATTGTAGAGGAAATTTCTCTTCAAATATGTATTCTTTGTTACATTTGTATATAGAAAAACCTATTTATTGGTTTTGGTGAGTTTTCAGATTAAGTATGAAATTGTTATTTAGGTTTTAATATGCTTTTCTTAGATGCTCAGTCATATATAAATAAATGATAAATTTATCTTCACCTTTCCAATTCTTATAGTTTTCACTTCTTTTTTCTGATTGAAATGAAAATAGTAGTGATATATTTATGATACTTTTGTAATTCTGAAATGTTAAACGTTTATGTACAAAAATTTGCACATCTATTCTTTTGCAGCTTCTGGGTTTCATGACTTGATTCAGAAGATCTTTCCCTTCCCCAAATCCTAAAGATACATTCCATATTTTTCTTCTAATATTTATAGTTTTCATTTTACATTGAGATCTTTAATCCATCTGGAATTTATTTCTATATATTGCATGAGATAAAAATCTAACTTTATTTTTTCCAGATGGATTACAACATTGCCCAAGATCATTTATAAAATTGGTCACTCTTTCCTCACTGGTTAGAAATTCCTCTTTAATCATATCCTAAATAGATCAGTTTTCTTTTTTAAGCCAGAACTTAAAAACCAAAAAGGAAATGAATTACAGTAGAGAATAAGGACATGAAAAGTAGGCCAAAAACAGACATTGAGATAAAGTTCTGCACAACTATTTAATGTACATAACAAAATACAAAGGCCAGTCATAGCAAAATAGTACAAATATTTCAGAGAAAATATTCCTATACTGTTTTCCAGTAAAAAAGAATCTGAGGATGGATGCCCATAAAACATAAGGCTGCAGCAACTAATTATTAAATATTGTTTAGTTACTCCCACTATACAGAAAGCTATTTGAAGTCTCAAAGCTGTAAACATACTCCAGCTGCCTGGTTTAACTCCTAACCAGATATTTCTGAGAGCAGATCAGAATGTCCCCTAAGGAAAAAGCAAAGCCTAGAATTAGAAAAAAATGTAACAGTCTCTTTTGTTTGTTTGTTTGTTTCTTGTAATTCAAGACTGGTTGTTTTTTTCTCCTACATCTCTGAGGCCCTGCAGGATATTGTGAGTAGTCTTGGAGTGAAAAGTAGAGGACTAGCCTTGTAGTTCTGTTTTTCTTTTAACAGGAAAACCAATTAAGAATTCTGGATATTAAATGCCAAAGATCACAAGAGCCAATGTTCAACTCTGAAAGCTGGTGGAAATCCTGAAGCATGAACACCTACAATGTATGCCTTCCCAGACCTTTGAAAAGTTTCTATTGAATAGTGAGTTAACAATCAATATTATAATAGTGAATGCTGCTATTTCTTGGCTGTATCTTTATGATTATATGAGGACTAAATGAACTACAATAGAATGAATTGGTAAATTTGTCTAAGACTTTTCTTCAGTGAAAGATTAGGAAGAATGTTATTGGCTGATTCAGGTTTTTATTTTCTTATGTTATCACTTAAAGCTCAAAAGTAAAAATTAAAAGAATAACCAAAGACAGAAAAGGTTTCCTAATCCTACCATGCCATTATATCACCTGAGAGTCATCCAATAAAGGCCAATAAAACACAAAAAGATGTTGATGCGGTGTGTTTCTTCATGTTATTGTTAAAATATGTTTTCACTTAAGTGGAATGATGTGTTTTTAAGTAGGCATTTGACTGAGCTTTAATCAAGCTATTAAATAACAATGGTAATAACAACAGCTCTGTTGGTGGAGGTAGAGGGGACAGATGACATGAGTCAGTTATTTTACAAATAAAATGTAAACAAGTCCCAGGATGTCAACATATGGGAGAGAACTGATGTTCTAGCCACTCTACAGCAAACACTTGGATGTTTTAAAACATTACAGTGTGTAGCGGTTTATAGTAAAAACATAAAATTTAAAACAGATAAAAACTAGTGAAAAAAATTTAAAAAACATATAATAAACTGAATACATTTTTCCTATTTCATTAGAGATACAGCTTTGACTTAGGAAGCTTTACAAATAAACTAAACAGACATAGATTTTCTTTTCTGCTATAAAAGCAGCAGTCCAAGGAAGTGAGAGAGCTGGCAGTTAGGTTAAATGCTGCCTTTAGCAATTTTTCCTGGAAAACCTTGCAGCAAGAGCATGTGTCTATTTTTGCCAAGCTTAATTGTCAAGATGGTCCTGGGTGCTCTTTGACTTCCTGGCTCCCTAAATAAAGCCAGATTTTGGACAGACTTTCTCTTTCCCAGGCCTTTGGAGGAGTGCTAATTACAAAATACTTTATTTAAACACTAGAAACTCATTCATGAATCCAAGCCAAGTCTCAGATTTAAAAGCCCTTAAAAATATCCTTGCAACAGCCGTATTACTTTATCCTTTATCTATTTTTAGAGACTCAATGTTTGTTTTGCTAGAAGAAAAAAAAATTAAAACATGAAAAGTATGCCATGAACAAATCTGCAATAATAAGCAGCACATACATGTTGTGGAAGAAAGTACTCAACATAAAACAGTCAACATAAAAACAGATTCTGTTGAGGCATTTTTATAAATAGCAGTTATTATTTTGCTTTCCATTGCTAAGCACTTTAAATAACATGCCCTTAAAAGTTTTCAAGTTCTTTGCTTCATATAAATATAATTTCCTGTTCTTAATTTGCACACAATTATTAAGGAAAATTATAGATGCATTCTGGTTATTTCATATGTAGTTTTACAGTTGTTATATTAAAATTAGAAGTACAAGGAAGAAAAGAAGTAGAATTTATTGAAAAATATACATTACTTGGTATACAAAAAAATTTATCTATGAAACTTTTCACCAAATATTTTTAATAGAAATCACGTCACACAGAGATGTACAGATACAATTATGCTAACTGGTTTTCAACAGGTCACACTCAGTTAAAGAATGTCCTGTATTAAATGTCCCTTTGAATGCTTGAGCACTCAGCATAGGAGCACTTTTGCTCCTTGCAACTGTTTGCCTTCTGTAATTACTTGTATACAACCAAGTAAATGTTTATGTATTTAAAAGCAAAAAAAAAGAAAAATCACTTTGAAAGGTTCCAAATCACCTCCATCCAGAAAATACAGAGGTGCTGAAGGGAAAGAATGGCTATTTCAACCATGGAAATTGAAACCTGAATACAGGGCGATGGTGCACTGGACGCATTGCTGGAGGCCCGTGCAGACCCAGCTCTCATCAGGGGCCACAGGCGAGGCTGGTGCACCCCCCTCATCCTGTTTCTGAGACCACAGGCTGGCAGTGCTGAGCTGCTGCAGCTATGCGTGCTTGCTGGCAGACAGCAGAAACCATGGTAACACTTCAGGGCCTGGAACACCTTTATTCACTGCTTCCTGCTTCTCCGCCCCAGCTCACGTGATGAGATCCAACTTGGCAATACAGAAAATGGCAAAGTGGGGTTCAGAAAAACACCAAGCAACACTGCAAATCATACTCAGAGCAGAAACTGTGACTGTGCTAGCATTTTGCCAGTATTTCCTACCTTGCCACCAGTAGATATGTAACCGAAATGGCTTGCTGTGAATTTTGTAGTCCTCAAGCCAAAAGCAATAAAAATTCTGTAACAGCATATGCAGCATGACAGAATATCACATCAGCCTAGAAAAACGATTTTCCTGGGAAGGCCTGTGCAGAGATGAATATGACTGTGATACAGAAGCTGGGCAGAGATTTCCATTGCTTCCAGCCCACAGTGAGGTCATTTTAAAGGCACTTTTCCCTCATTTGTTCTGCATTCACTGAATGTACATTTTTTGATGTCAGAGGGACATTGCAGGAAAGATCAGATAAGCTAGTCTGACAATAGAGCCAAAGTTCAAAGCTTCTATATTTTCAGGTAACAGCCATGACAGTCTGTCTACACTAAATCTTTCCAGGGCATGTCACATGTAACCCCGTCCATAATTTTTCAAACAGTTCAACACAAACAAATCACTTATTCATTGAACAACTATAACATCTGATACCAGCACATGAAGATAATACCATAGTCACTAATCAAAGTTCCTTCCATTCAGGTGAAAAAAGAAAACTACTCAGATTTGGTTTAAGACCATGCTTTCATGTTTCTTTGAAAATTATTATATGCCAAGATAAGGAGAAGAGAGGAAAAGAAAGGAGAGAGAGAGAGACAGAGAGACAGAGACAGAGACACAGAGAGAGAGACAGAGAGACAGAGAAAGAGAGAGAAAAAGAGAGACAGAGAGAGAGAGAGAGAGAGACTGTGTATGTGTAAGAACCAGAAAGTCACACCTTCTAACTTCAGGCTGTTGGAAATAAGCAACTATGGTGTGTGATGGGAGTCCTCAGACGTTACTGTTGAGGCCTGCAAAGGAATAGCCAGGCCCTCTTTTGACTCGCCCTCCCAGCACCTAAGCCCACTCTCAGAGGCTTGAGCCCGGTCCCTGTGCTCTGTCTTTGAGCCCTCTGACTGATCTTGCAAGGAAGCACGAGCAGCCAATGCCAGCACCACAAGGCGGTAGAGATGCAACAGCACCACAAGGGAATTCTTCACAGCAAAGAACACCAGCATATGATTGATCACTTTGAAATAGGCCATCAGTATGAGACGCACAATGAGGAAAGGGCCATCTTGTATGAAGATGCTGATTCCAATGTTCCACAAATCAGCACTGTACAGACAAAAGAATAGGATGGGAAATCTCCTGGCTTTCACAGATGAGGGGCACACTACATGCTGCACTGCAAACACAAGACAGACAGTGAACATTATTTCTCTGTGATGCAGAAAAGTGAAACAGATGAAATCAGATAATGGGTGCTCTGTTTCTAAATGATGAAAATGATTCTGTAATTTAATTCTGGGTATAGCAGGTAAAAGTTCCCTGACCCCAAGCTTCTCCACCCCAGCCACATGGTTTCCATTGACTTAAAATGTTTCAAATCATATTCTAGTTCTCACGTTGGAGAAGGCCCAATTAAGCAGACTAGAGTGAATAAATAATAAAGGAGTCTACTAGTGAGAGAGAAAGAGTGTGTGTGTGTATGTGTTGAGAGTCTGCAGCATGGTGAGGCAGCATAAAAGTGTACTCAGGGACTCAAGTCAGGGAACCTGATTGCCTATCTTGACTGCCTCATTTGCTAGCAGTGAGATACTTAAACTTTCTGAGCCTCAGTTTCTTCCTTTGAAAACTAGGATAAAAATATCCCTAAGGAGAAGGGTTTCCATTCATTGGTTCATTTGGTTTCCATTAGAATAACACCTCTGACTTCCCTCCACTTTCTCATTTAATCTTCCCCTTGGGATAATGAGTAACTTGCATGACTGATGGCAGATGGACAAAAGGATATATGGCCCAGATAATTCTAGATACTTTCTTCAGAATTTACCTATTTTCTGAGTTACTTACCCAGTCATATGTGTAAATTCTGTGAAATTTCAAGTGCTTATATTAAATTAATTCACGTTAAGCATATTTTCTAATGGTGGAAGAAAAAAGTCCAACAAATGACATTATTTTATTTTGTCCTAATTCCTTATGCTTTTGTTTCACAGTTGACAAGAAAGGCTGGATATAATTACTGATTTTCCAGTTGAACAAAAGGAGGTCCAATCAACAGATGAACCTTTTTTGTTTTAATTGCTAACATGTAAATTTAATTCAGGGTCAAGGGCAGAAAATAATCCTTTTATAATAATGAAGCCTTCCATTTGGAGTTTTCAAAGAAAGAATGCCTTCGCCTACTGGAGCCTACAAATATTATGAAGCTGCTTTGATATGGGTGAACATAATGTACTGTTTGTTGGAAAATACAATAGCGATTTAGTCAGAAGTAACATTTGGTCTTTGTTTTTCAAACAGCTGCATAACATTAGCACCTCCAAGAGTTTATGAAATTTCTTCCTTAAATAAAAATCTTCTTAGCAAGGCTATAAACCACAAGATATGAAAGGGTGAGTGAATGACAAAAGAAAAACCAACATAACGTGAATAACTGCCTTTCCTAAGAAGTCAGGGCCAGGAAATGCCTCCCCAAAAGACCCTGTAAGTGCATTACTCAGTATTCAGTGATGGCACCTAATATTCTAACAGCTAACTAATAAGTACTGTATACCTCTGAAGGCACATGTTAACAAAATCTTTGTGTGTATGTTATTTGCATATATTTTAAATTATTAATCAGTAATTAGGTTTTTGATATTTTGAAAAAGCCACAGCAATTCTTGCCATGTATTCTGGTGAAAGTTTTGATCTAGAAAGTGGATGCTAAAATGGCCTCAGACCTCTGAGCCTTACCAAAATGAGATAGAAAAGATGCAGAACAAGTTAAATATTTCTGTTCTGAGGATTCATTCTAATCCTGAGGCCAACAGGTAGAGTGTTTCAAAAATTAAGCCAGACTAAGATAAATGCAATTATTAAATTCCAGAATTTCTCTACAGTTAGATCAGTAACTGCCTTTCCTAAGAAGTCAAGGTGATGAAATCCTTCTCAAAGAACCCCTAAGGTTATTAATTCAATATTGCAAGTGATGGTACTCAATCTTCTATCAGTAGGGCAGCAGACCAGCTTACAGTCTACTAGCTGACTAACGGAGAATTCCCAGTTCAAAATTTGGAGAATTCCCAAATTGTAATTCCAGGGTACCAAGAAGTTATGGTAGGTCTCTAGATCATTGCTATCCAACTGAGCTTTCTGTGGTAGCAAAAACATGTCATACCTTTGCTATTTGTCATATGTGACAAGTGAGCACTTGAAATGTGTCTAGTATGACTGAAGAACTAATCCTTTAGTTTTAAACTTTAAATTTGAAGAGCTATGTATGACTAGTGGAAAACATATTGAACAAGACAGTCGTAGATCGCCTCTAGTATGAAATGCCCTGTAAATAGTTTACATCGTACCAAGTCTTAAAGATCTTCATGAAAGTAACATCAAATGGGATTCCAAGGGCCACCACTGAAGAAAAATTTAATTTTCCATAGCTGGCCTTGAAATTGCTCTTACTACCCTAACACAAGGCCTGACAAAGGAGTGAAAGCAATTCTGTAGAAATATCAACACATAACACTTATATGCCAGCAACTTGCAAAGCACTTTCCAAACTTTATTTTATTGTATCATCACAAGAACTATTGACCCTGGCTACTGTGACTATCATCCCATTTCATGGATGAAAAACCTGAGGCACAGATATATTAAACTCTTTTTAGGAGGTTTTATAGATCATAAATGATGGAACCATTGTTTAAAGTGAATTTAAAGTGAGTGATTATCTACTTATGTCTCTTAAGTTAATCATATACCAGAGTGAATCCACTCATAGCTTTTCTAAATTTCAATGTACTTCTAATCCAAACTGGAACTGTAGGATATCACAATAGCAGTCCTCTCAATTGCCTCCTTAGCTTTACTACAGTTTATAAGCAAGGTTTTAATGTTCCTTTTCTTTGCATAACTATCAAGATATTTACCTGCCAGGTCAAGTGGAAACTGCAGCATACTCCAAGTCCATATAACAAGGATGGCACAGACCAACGCATGGTTACTCCTAGAAGGGAACAAAATTCGAAATTAGCAATAAAAAGTGATCACATGCAGTTGAGAGAAATCTTCTTAATGCATCAGTATATTCTTAGCAAACCTCTTGTGAGTTTGCAAAATATCTCAGTGATACAATAAACATGAAAAAATCTATTCTTGATCATAATAGAATGATGAAAAAGAAGTAAAACATAAAAATTCTGAGACTTAAAACCCAACACAAGCATGAATATGACAAAGCTTCTTGGTTCTATATGGTTGTCTTTAATTTTACAAAGTCGTGGAAACAATGTAAGATAAGTGGTGGGGAAAAAAGTTAGATATGGTCATGGGTATTCAAAAGCCTGATTTGGAGAATTTTATGTGGGAAAAACGAGTAACTCTCCCAAGAGTCCAAAATTCTAGTTGAAAAGACATCTAAAAAGGACAACATTATGCTCAAATATTAAAAGACCAGCGTGATGCAAGAAAACTGTCCTTAGATGGAAAACAGTGGGGAGATAAATTTAATAAACAAAAACTAACACCAGATAATAGGCTATAAGGCAAAGATGTGTATGTTCCGTTCACCACTGTCTTCCCAGTGCCTAAAGCAGTGCCTGGCAAACAATAGGGACTCAATATATATTTGTAGAAAGAATGATTATACAAAAGAAGGGCTCTATGCTTGAACAATATACAAATGTTATAGACCTAGGAGACAGATATGGAAGACTAAAGTCAGAAAAGATAACATTGGCAGAAATGCAAAGAATATTAAAGAAGTCCCAAAGTCACATTTATTTTTAGCAATGTATAAAAGAAGTTAGAAACTTGAAGTCATTGGTATAACAACAGATTTTGTTTCCATCTTCTCTCAAGAGGGAGTTTTGATTGGAGAGGACTAGGAAAGCATCAGGGAAGAGTAATTGAAACCAAACTAAATGGGGTGATTGTAAGGGATATCTGTAAATGTTTCAAGTGTTGAGATCCTGAAAAATTAAATCTCATAACGCTGAGAGAATTTGTAAATGAGATTTCTAAGCCATCACTATCCATCTTGGCAGTTAATGGTAGAGACAAGGTTGATGACAGAAAATGAAGTCTCTACTTTCAAAAAGAAGCAGAAATATATCTTAAAGTACAAAAGGCATATTTCTATTAGTGCCTACATAGATTATATAAGTGATTCTTCAAATGATTTCTGAGAGCCCTTATAGAAGACAGTAATTACTAAGAATGAGTACAGGTTCTCTGAGAACAATTGCTCTCAAGTAAGCTTATTTCTCCTTCATATTTTTTAAAAAATAGAGTGGGATTGCCAAGAAGGTGATGCTATATAAATTGGTGCTAGATTTGGATTTAAATAAGTTTCTTGAAAAAAAAACTCCCATGATATCCTTATTAACAAAATTAAGAAATATTCTGGGTGTATCGTTAGGTAGGTTTCTAACTGTGGAAATGACTCACTCCCCAAAGGGATCTTTATAGGGGGTTGAGGCAATGCTCTGCCTGTGATATTGTTCTACTTCGTATTTCATTGATGACCTGGTTGACAACACTGATGGAAGGTTTCACATAAGCACATGTGACATAGAGGATGGAGAGAAAACCAGTAACCTGAAAGAATCAATCAGTATTCCAGAAGATGTAACTGAATAACTTAAGTTGGGATGGAATAGGCAGAAGAGATGATATTTCACAGAAGCAGCTACAAAAAAAAAAAAGCTGTGAGTCCACACTGTGACATGATTTGTGATTTTCCAAAATCAAATGCAATCAAAGGTCAATTCTTAAGAAATATAAAATCTAGAAGTTTAAATGGATATGTCTTGGTAATATAGTCTATAACCTATTTTTCTTTACAGTTTCAATGTCTATATACATCAGGCCATCAATAAATGCCTGGATTTTTAATTAATGTTACTGACAGTTTCTGATCTCAGAGTTAGACCAGATTGCTACATCTTTACTCCACGATTATACTTAATCCTCATACCAGCTCAACAAAGTAGATACAATTATCATTCCTACTTGACCAAGGAGTAAATGGAGACAAACATAAAGCTGAGAAAAATTATCCAAAGTAATGTGCTTATAATGATTGTGCATAAATCAAAACTAGATAGCTGATTTTGTCATTTACCCTTTTGACCAGTAAACTGCACTATTTCCGGAGAAGGAATGGAAAGTTTTAGCCCTCTGTATTCTACAATGTTCAGAACACACTTGAAATATTGTGAATTGTGCTTCATGTTTTAGAAGGGACTTTAATAAATTTACTTGTACAAAAAGAGAGAGACTAGGATTGTAAAGGAACTTAAATCTGAGTTAGATGAGGGCTAGCTCAAGAAATTGACAATTAGAAATGATTCCTTAATTTTTTTATTATATATCTTCAAAGGGCTACAGTGGGAAAAAAGATGTTAAATTTGTATCTTTGACTTCAGTGAGTCATTTCAGGCTCAAAGGATTTTACTTACATCTTTGCAAAACTAAATTTCATCACAATTAAGAAAAGCATTTTCTAATAATATTGGTTCAAAAAGGAGTAGGTTGCTACTTGGATAAGGTATCCTCTATTAGGATTTTTCAAAAAAAGCCTGCAAAAATTGTTGCTATTTTGGAGAGGACTTTTTCAGTTGATGCAAAGTAGATTTTTCCTAAAATGATCACTTTTGAAGTTCATTATAACCCAAACTTTAATAATTCTACTAAACTCATGTGCGATTTGTCTGCAAGGTGGTCAAATGCAGTGGTAATGCCTGGATTCTGGAGCCAAGTGACCAGAATCCAAATACCATTTCCTACTCTCCTTAAAGAAGTAGAATGTGGAGATCTTGTCCTAGACTGATCACGTGCCGACTATATCTATATGATCGGCTAGCATCTGCATGTCTTGGAATAGCACTGGCACAGACTAAGAATAGGGAATAATGCAAGTTAGTTATTTTTAATTATGTATAATCTTGAGACTTTCTAACAGTCTTGCTTATAAAGTAATGATAGTATTTGCCTCATAGTGTAAATGTAAAGACTAACTCATTCAACTTAATCCTTTAGAACACTTCTCAGCATACAGCAAGTGATAAACATTACCCAGAACTGTCATTAATTAGAATATTAATGACTATTATTATATCATAATTATTGCATATATAATTATTAATAAACATGCCATCATTATATAATAAATTATATCAATAATTATTATGATATAATTATATTAATAATAAATATTATATCATGCCTCTTAAATTCTATGTGTCTCTTAGGAAATAAATTATAGTCTGTCCCTCACCCAAAGTAAGCCCAAGTCTAACCATATAATAATGAATGTATATCTTTATATATACACATGTAATCTATCCACACACAAAATATGGAAGAATATGGGTGTTGAGAAAGATATTGGCAAAATTATCAAATACAACTTTGGAAAAGTATATCAGAAAAATTTTAAGGCAGACAAATATGAATTACTAGGTCAGAAAATGAAATCATTCCAGAAGGTTAAATGTTGGAATGTAAATAAATCACTGAGATTAAGTGATTTATAAAATAATCTTGGAATGGATTTATCCATCAGTAGCCCATATGTGTAATCCATCTTCACAAATGTCAACCAAGAATCATGGCAGACAATGGACTTAACTCATAAAGAGACCAAAGATTTTTAAAAGTATAATTACTAGCATTGGTGGATCAACCAGATGGGTGAAAATTAGAATAAAATGTCGAACTTTGTCAACTTGCTTAACTGTTTCTTTTTTTTTCATTGTTTTATTATTCATATGTGCATACAATGCTTGGGTCATTTCTCCCCTTTGCCCCCACCCCCTCCCTTACCACCCACTCCACCCCCTCCCTCACCCCCTGACCTCCTCGATACCCAGCAGAAACTATTTTTTCCTTATCTCTAATTTTGTTGTAGAGAGAGTATAAGCAATAATAGGAAAGAACAAGGGTTTTTGCTGGTTGAGATAAGGATAGCTATACAGGGAGTTGACTCACATTAATTTCCTGTGCATGTGTGTTACCTTCTAGGTAATTCTTCTAGATCTAGCCTTTTCTCTAGTTCCTGGTCCCCTTCTCCTACTGGGCCTCAGTTGCTTTAAAGGTATCTGCTTTAGTTTCTCTGCGTTGAGGGCAACAAATGCTATTTAATTTTTTAGGTGTCTTACCTATCTTCATATCTCCCTTGTGTGCTCTCACTTTTATCTTGTGATGAAAGTCCAATCGCCTTGTTGTGTTTGCCTTTGATCTAATGTCTGCATGTGAGGGAGAACATATGATTTTTGGTCTTTTGGGTCAGGCTAACCTCACTCAGAATGATGTTCTCCAATTCCATCCATTTACCAGTGAATGATAATATTTAGTTCTTCTTCATGGCTGCATAAAATTCTATTGTGTATAGATACCACATTTTCTTGATCCATTCGTCAGTAGTGGGGCATCTTGGCTGTTTCTATAACTTGGCTATTGTGAATAGGGCTGCAGTAAACATGAGTGTGCAGGTGCCTCTGGAGTAACCTGTGTCACAGTCTTTTGGGTATAACTCCAAGAGTGGCACTGATGGATCAAATGGTAGATCAATGTTTAGCTTTTTAAGTAGCCTCCAAATTTTTTTCCAGAGGGGTTGTACTAGTTTACATTCCCACCAGCAGTGTAAGAGGGTTCCTTTTCCCCCGAATCCTCGCCAACACCTGTTGTTTGTGGTGTTGCTAACGATGGCAGTTCTAACAGGGGTGAGGTGGAATCTTAGTGTGGTTTTAATTTGCATTTCCTTTATTGCTAGAGATGGTGAGCATTTTTTCATGTGTTTTTTGGCCATTTGAATTTCTTCTTTTGAGAAAGTTCTGTTTAGTTCACTTGCCCATTTCTTTATTGGTTCATTAGTTTTGGGAGAATTTAGTTTTTTAAGTTCCCTACATATTCTGGTTATCAGTCCTTTGTCTGATGTGTAGCTGGCAAATATTTTCTCCCACTCTGTGGGTATTCTCTTCAGTTTAGAGACCATTTCTTTTG